TTCCTCTGGCGAAATCGGGAGAGTTAGCAAAATTATTCTGCAACAATGAGGAACTACAATCAGGTGCCAGATGCCCCAATATGGTGCCGGAACTTGCCTGAAGTACATATTACTGACTGGTATGATCCAGTCCAACTGATGCCTCTTTCTCAGCTACCACAGCTACCAAGGTGACATCTCAATGGGATCTAGGTCACCTAAAAGTAATCACAAATCTCACTAAATTATTACTCAAATGCACAAACCGCAATCTCCTGTCACGCACCTGTACCTCTTGCATGAACATTGTCAAGTGACATTGTCAAAGGACACGGATTTACAGGACTTACGTTACCTGGACTCTCTTGATCTCTGGAAACCATCTCTTTGCGGACCCATATAAAGATTCTGGAACTCTGACATTCCACAGCACAACGACCTGCGTTACCATTCAGCAACTCTTCTCCAACTGGCATCTCGAACTATGGTAACCATCCTCTAGACATACAATAACCTGACCAGCAGGGGGATACCCCTTACACCCACTGACATAATGGGAACTTACTTGTACAGAAGAAAACATCTTACATCTAACCAAACTCTGTTTTCTGCATTTCAAGAGTTGCTGTCTCCCACAATGCGATTCCAGACCGTTAAGACATTCATGGTCATGTAGTACTTCCTCCTTCTCCCTATCTTAAGTTGTCATCAATCTTGACTATTTTCCCCTTACATACCTCTCCTTCTCTAAGCAGCTCATTTTCCAGCCACCCTCCTGTCTCTTACCTTTTCTCCTTCTCTAAGCTCACCAACCTATTCTCCCCTACTTTATTCTATCTATAACCCTTCTTTCTTCTCCTACCCATCTTTGTTTATGATCTACATTGTTCATGTAATTATGAATAACAATGTTGCCTGCATTGGGAAAATGTATTTAGAAAAACAGAAAAAACAATATCTATATATGGAATGCATGCCGCTGATGTGCCAAATGGACTGCCAGAGCAATCACCCCCAGCCAGAAGAAGCCACAATAGCTAACGGTGAGCAGAAAGCTTCCAACTGAATGTCAGTGACGAGAACATGATACAGCAAGATCATAAGTGCATAATTAAAAACAAACAAATGGATACAATAGTGCAACATAGTGATTATAGGGTACTAATTATAGGATATCTTAAGGATATCTTAACCTATAATTACTACTTTGCACTATTGCATCCTATTGAAATATATTGACTTTTCTCCAAAGTTTCTTGGGGCCTTTCATATAGGCCTTTAACTCTCTTTCCCACTGTACATTCCTCCTAGACTGAGCTCTGGAAGCTCATATTTCTCTAATTACAAAACCAGGGAATGATTTGCAAGAGCTATTGCTTAATCTCACTGATAAATATAAACCAAAAAATATTTACAAAAAATATTAGCCAACCGCCTTTTGCAGGGACTAGTCCATCTTGACCAGGTAGGTTTTGTACCTGAATCTGAGAAAATAAATAAATTAAAAACACTAAATGCTTAATTTTATTTTTTCTCAACAATGAACCAAGCACAGAGCCTCTTACTTTCCATAGACACGGAAAAGGCGTTTGATAGGTTGGACGGGTCCCTCCTATTTGAAACCATTAAAGCCATGGGTTTCAGTTTGAATTGGCTACAATGGATGAAGGCTTTAGACTTCACTCCAAGTACCAAAATCAGAGTTAATGGCCAACTATCAGAGCCTGTCTTAAACAGGAATGGCACGAGACAGGGGTGCCCGATCTCCCCACTACTTTTCATTTTCATTATGGAACCGTTTCTCCAAGGTATCGGAGATCACCCATACATTAATGGCATACAGATACAAGACAATGAATTTAAACTAGCAGCCTTTGCTGATGACTTACTTTTCTTGATAACGGACCAACTTACTTCTATGCCCCACATCATTGAGAAAATCTATATCTAAAACAGACTGTGAGATTTCCACGTCAATTTACGAAAAGTGAAATCCTACCACTAAACATAGACTATCCAACCAAATTATCCCTTCAGAGCAAATCCCATTTTCCTTGGGCAGAAACTGCAGTCAAATATCTAGGGGTTTACCTCACACACAACAAAAATAAGCTCTATGAGCCTCTTTTTCCCACCCTTTTTACAAATAATCACAAGAGATCTGACAAATTGGAAAAAAACATAATATGGTTGGTTTTGCAGGATCCATATCTTAAAAATGATCAAGATTCTGAAAATACTATACCTACTGCAAGCTTTGCTCATACCAATACCTACCTCTTTCTTTTTGGTACCTTGATATGGTCTCATAATACCATTCAAAGTACAGAATACCCTTCAAAGTACTGACAAGTCTTAAAGGAGGTCTATCTCTTCCCAATCTGGAAATGTATCAAAAAGTGGTAATTCTCATGAGGATATATGAATGCTCATACTGGGTACAACTGGAGAGCTCAGGGTTTCAGGAACCACTCCATATAATTAACTGGCATAAATCTGGAAGTATATATTTTAAGTCGACAAATCTTTCCCACCCTACGATAGCACCAACTTATAGATATGGTCTCAGATCAAGAGCCTTGCTAGCCTCTAGCTACTCTTGGCCCTCTATTCATTGACTACTAACCCACTTTTCCCACCTGGCCTAACAGACAAGCCCTTCTATTCATTTAACAAAACCTAATGTCTTACTCTTGGCTCCATTGTTGATAGGCAAGGTATTAAAACCCTTACTGCCATGTAATCGTCTGACAAATTGGCCACTTTACAGCAATTTGGGTTCTCACAACTCTACCAATTTATTACCTCCACACCTGACCTTTTGAAGGAAAACGGGTACACAACAGTGTTTGAAACACTATGTACCATACTTGTAAGACTAAACACCTATCAGTATTTTATCAAATCCTCCTACACCTACATCTCTGAAGTGCATGACAATGTGCGCAGAGGAACTTAATGGAAATGCATATTTTCAAACATCTACAAATTATTAGCACCACCTAGGAAAGTAATTATAAAATAATCTCCAGATGGCACTACATACCATCACAAATACACTTGTTCCCGAATGCCACAGATTCCTGCTGGAGGTTCACCCTATATATAAGCATACCAGGGCATATATGGTGGTCTTGCCTTATAATCCAAGCATATTGGACAAGGATAACTACCCCAGCACAATTTTTCTCAGTTTAACTACCTCAAACACAAGAGGTTCTTCTATTTCTTCTTTATCAACTCCCAATACCTAAAAAGAGTTTCCTTCTCAATCAACTTCTGATAGCAAATATGCTTATTCCTATTAATTGTAAAAAAAAATTAAAATTAAAAAAAAACAACATCAGCCTCCTCAATCAGGGAATGAATTCATAAAGTGGAATTCATAAACTGGAATCATAAATCCATCCAGATCAGAGCCTTGTTAGCTTCTTAGAGGATATGATAAGAGTGACCTCCTCCCCAGTAATTGGTGCCAAGACTCAATCTAGCAGTTACATAATTGGGTTAGTGGGAGTTGAGCAAAAATCGAGTGTATTCTGTCAAGTAATGTTGGATCTGAAGTTGCGTAATAATGAGAATGATTATATATTTTGGAATAAACTGGATGAACACATTTCTAATACTTACAGGGGGAAGCTCACAATTTAGGTCTCTTATGTATAGTATGGTTTGAGAAGGTTGCTGGGTGGGGAGAAATCAGAGGTAAGACTTACAAACATGATCCATTAAAAGGATTTGGAGATCTTGTCATGACCTGAAGGAGGTCATTTAAAATATCTGGGGCATTATGAGACTTATTTTTATGCTCCAGTTTATAGAAGTAGAACTGGAGAGAAAGGAAATCAGTGATAGCAAAATTGCAAAGGAAGTGTAATGAGACTTCAGTGGTTGAATTGTCCTTAAAATAATTAAGAATGCCATTGCTTATATCTTTCACAAGTTTTGGATTATGTAAATATATACGAGTAAACCTCAGGTTGAAATGGGCAGAAATGCTGATCTCTGAATTAACACCTACATGATCCGACCATAAGATAAATCTGATATTGGAATAATAACTATCAGAAGCACAATGTGAAGCGATGAGAAATGCATCTATACATTAATAGGTCTTCTTGAGAGGGAAGAAATATTAGTAATTTGCGGGTGCTGAATTCTCCAAATATCTAATAAATTACTGTGATGAACAAAGAAGGCAAAAAGTCAATTGAGTTGCAAAGTATTTAAGTCCCCATCAAGGAAAATAGCACCATCTGGAAATCTGTCAAAAAACACAGAAAATGATGCTCAAAATCCATATTCATAGTAGGGAGTACATGAACACAACCTGAAGTATAATATTTAGAAACTAATGTACCTTTGGGAAAAACATACCGATCCTGAGTATCACAAATGTGATCAAGAATAAGAAGAGAAGACCATCCTATAAGCCACATTTGGCATTTTTAGATATGTACTTAGACCCATTCCCTAATAATATTTTGTATTAGTGATATTGCAGAAGGTCTCGATGGTAAGGTATGTCTTTTCGCTGATGATTCTAAAATTTGTAACTAGGTTGATGTTCTAGGAGGGATAAGCCAAATGGCAAATGATTTAGGTAAACTAGAAAAATGGTCAGAGCTGTGGCAACTGACATTTAATGTGGAGGACAACCTAAGGTATTAAACTTGGGGTATTTTGACTCTTTTCATGCAACCATTTTATCACCAATCTATGCCAAATTAAAAAAAAATAATAATAATTGTTGCTTTTTTTTTGACACACATTTTAAGAATACATGTACTGAGATCGTTAAGGGTTACTGCCAAAGAACACCCTAATATGTATTCAGAAACATCTCCTGAGTAAAGTGATACCGCCCATGTATAGGTGTGTCAGGTTCTCTGGGGGCTAAAAGACCTTATTTGTAGGGTGCGGGTTCCAGTTTTCCAACTTTGAATTTTCACAGCTGGTCATCATGCACCCATGTCCTATTTGGGACATTTTTGAAGCCGGCCAATGTAATTTACCCCCATCAAACCATATATTTTTAAATGTAGACAACCCAGGGTATTCAATATGGGGTATGTCCAGTCTTTTTTAGTCACCACTTTGTCACAAACATTGGCCAAAGTTAGCATTTATATGTGTTTGTGTGTTAAAAATGCAAAAAACTATTATAAACGCTAATTTTGACCAGTGTTTGTGACTAAGTGGCTACTAAAAAAGACTGAACATACCCCATTTGCTTGACCGTGGGTTGTCGACTTTTGCAAATGGTATGCCATCATGGGGGTAATTCTCATTCCTGATCTACCATACGCTCTCAAAGGCAACATAACCAATCTGGCAAATTTTAATGTGAGTAAAACAACCTTATATATGACCTTGTAACCTTCAAAAACACTATAAAACCTGTACATGGGGGTACTGATATACTCAGGAAACTCCACTGAACACAAATATTAGTGTTTCAAAACAGTAAAACGTATCACAACAATGATATCATCATTGAACATGCTGTTTGTGTATGAAAAATACAAAAAAGTCACTTTCACTGACAATATCACCACAGAGATATGTTTTACTCTTTTGAAACACTAATATTTGTGTTCAGCAAGTAAAACCTCCCCATGTACAGGTTTTAGGGTGTCTTGGAAAGTTACAGGTTTAAATATAGTAAAGAAAAAATCTGGGTGCTAAATAAATACAAACAATTGCTTCACACTCTGGCGCAATCCCCAAATCCACCAAGAGGAATAATGTGAAATAGTGTGTGGAGCAAAATACCACTAAGAGACAGCAAAAAGAGAAAATATATACAAACTCTTTAGATGTATGGTGATTCTTCCAATCAATGTTGAAAATATATAAAAAAAGAAAGAACACAATAATGGTGCAGATAGTTTACAAATCAATACACATCTGCTTTATACAATTCTCATAATAGATAAGAGTTATCTCTGCAATAATATGCTTAAGAGTCTCAAGTATGAAAAAATTACATTAATTTATTATCTGCCACATGCAGCATAAAAATACATATATACAGAAAAAGAAATTTAAAAAGTAATAAAAAAGAAAAGCAGAGGGTGATTAGCCCCTTACTAGATTCGGTGGTGAGTATGACAGGCTTCTGCCTACTTGCTAAATAAATACAAACAATTGCTTCACACTCTGATGCAATATAGTGCTAGCAAATTAAATTCTCTGGACTTTCAGCCTGGGTTGTCAGGCAGGTCCCCCAAATTGCAATCAATAAAATTACTTAATTATGTAAAAATATTACATAAATATGCACATAGGATTTATATATACATATTTATATATTTTAAGCCTACTTGTATATTTATGAAATTATTTATGTAATTATGTATATGGACATATGTATATTTCGTATTGTTTTTATTTATGTATACATTCTAAGTGTATTTTGATATCAATATATATATATATTGATATAAAAATACAGTTACAATAAAATTGCATATATCTTTTTTTTTATTTATTATTTTTACTTTTTAATTATTATTTATTTTTATAAGAATATATATATATATATACACTATATATATATAGTTTTATATATCTATATATAAACGTGTGTAATATATATATATTATACATATATATTTTTTTACATTTATTAACTTTAATATTTTTTTTATTTTATTTTTTCACCAGCAGGGGGACTGCCTGTCAATTCAGGCAGTCCCACGCTGGATGCCTTTTGCAGCCATGTGATTGCTCTTTCAGAGCGATCACATGGCCAATCGGAGTCCTTTTTTTTGCAGAGGGGGGACTGTCTGTGCTGTCAGACAGTTCCCCCAGTGAAGAAGAACTCTGATCGCTGACGGGGGAATGACGGTGATTGTGTAAGTACATGGTAATGGAGGGCAAGGGAGGGGAGGGAAGGAAGGGGTTAATTTATTTATTTTAAAAATGTTATCTTCACTGAGTGCCTCGATCCCTCATGACACTCCGCACACAGGCAGAGCATCGGAAGCCTGTCTGATGGCTTCCAATGCTCTGCCTCACTGCCTGGCGCCACGTGGGGCAACCCGGAAGAAATCGCTCTGGGGGATCGATCACCTGGCAGCCTGGCAGTCAGGGGGGTATTGCAGGCTGCCTTGACATCAAGGCTTTGCTGCAAGACCCTTAGAGTGACAGGAAGCGATCATGATCGCTTCCAGACCTGTAACTACAGGGTACATCAACGGTCGTTAACAACAGTTTTTTGCCTGATGTACCCTATACGTCCACAGTCATTATGGGGTTAAAGGATCTTAACATGTATAGTTTGGAGGAAAGACGAGACAGGAGGATATGATAGAAACATTTAAATAAAAGGAATTAACACAGTAAAGGAGGAGACTATATTTAAAAAAAGAAAACCTACCACAACAAGAGGACATAGTCTTAAATTAGAGGGGCAAAGGTTTAACAATAATTTCAGGAAGTATTACTTTACTGAGAGGGTAGTGGATGCATGGAATAGCCTTCCAGCTGACGTGGTAGAGGTTAACACAGTAAAGGAGTTTAAGCATGCGTGGGATAGGCATAAGACTATCCTAACTATAAGATAAGGCTAGGGACTAATGAAAGTATTTAGAAAATTGGGCAGACTAGATGGGCCGAATGGTTTTTATCTTTCTAACATATCTAAAAATTACACAACTTAACTTGCCGTTACTTATGTTGTTTAAATTGCAACCTTTAACATATTAAAAACACTGAATAGAGCAGAACTTATAGTATTTTTAAGAAAATAAATGTAGTCACACTAACGTTTGTTTAGTATTTAGATTCTTTGTGTAGTTATTGTTTTGTTTTTATTGTTTTTTTCTTTTTTATTATTGTTTTGGGCTTTTTGTTTGTTTTGTTTTAAGTTTCTCAGTTTTTCCTTTGTTTGTTTTGTTTCTTGGTGTTTGTGAATTATATATATATATTTTTATGCAGAGAGTAATATTTATCCCTTGGGGAACTGAGAAAAAACTGCTAAATAAAGAACCAAAAACAACAAAAAAGTATGTCCAGATGATCAAACAAGAAACAAAAAAACAAATGTTATGCAGAACTAGCAAACAGTTCAACGGCAACAATTGTTGCCCAATGGGGAATTGGTAGAGGAACTCTACAAGAAAGTTACATGGGGAGGCAGGTAGAGACAGAAATAGTAAACCTCAGAGATAGGGAATCTCAGAGCATCAAATCCTCCTGTTAGATGCAGACGTGTATTCTGCCATTGTAGGAGAGCATCACTCAAAAGGGTTAGCCCAATGCATATCTGATAGAGTACTTACCAAGAAAATCTATCAAGGACTTCCACCCCTGCCACTGAGCTACAGGGAGAAGGGGCCAAATATTAAAAAAGGACAGTTTTACCCTTATAGATAAGTTGGTAGTCTCTACAATGCCGTCCCGCTCTGTCACCGAGCGCAAAAGACCTGGACCAAGGAGTTACCTGTTCCCCACCATTTGGCAGAAAGAAAATGGCAGAAAGTTGTTCTGAAAGCTGAAAAATGCTCGGCATTGCAAAGTTTGTCTAACTTGTGGCCATACATGTAGCCAGGCAAAATTTGAAAGGTTTTGAAATATCTTATATCAATGCATAATTGTAATGTCATATGTTTTGATTGATATTTGAAAGAGTCATGTTGATTAAATCAATTTATGGTTCTTGGAATAATTTTTTTAGTGGATATCTTTGCCTTAATACTTGCCTGTGAATAGAGATTGATTCCTTAGGCTTTAATGGCTATTGAGAGATTGCTAAGAGCTGACAAACTACAAACAATTGTTGTTGTTGGGTTATCCATTTCGGTATGGAGCATCTCTTGGTTTGATGGCCGGATCGTAGTGTGGAACTGCTACTAAGTGTTAATAGAACTACTGTCAGTAAGTTGGCTATGATAAAATTGACATAAAGAATAAAAGTTCACTTGACTTTTTTAACCTGGTGGAAGAGGGAAATCTTGTCTAGTCTTGGAAATCTAGTTTGATGGCTGAATCTGTATAAATCATTACGAGCAGAACAGACAGTTCAGGATAAACACAATACTGTAGCATTTAAAACAGGGTGGATACAATTAGGAATATTTTGGGCCATGTGAAGCTTATGCAATAACCAACAGCTGACTAGTAAGCAGTAATAAATGTGATCCATGATGCTATCAACTGATTCACAAATCAAGCTTAAATGACTGTCAGTGCTGAGAAGTATAGTGACTTAAACAGCAATAAATAGTAATGGTGATGTCATGTTCCTGAGTTTGACACCAGCTGTTTGTAGATTTTTACGGGTTGAGCTGATATACTTGATATTCTAAACTCATATATTCTTCATATTCAGACTGGTAAAGAAACAAAAGCCTAGGCAATAGACTAGTCATAAACACTCACTTTATTATTATTAGACACACAAAACAGGTGTGGAATTCTGTCAGCACTGGGGAGTCTATGCAGGAACTCTGTAGTCCAACCACTTCCTAAAAGATGTTTTGTTACAATTTTATCCAAAGGGGTACTTTATTGGATTTTTTTAAGGTTTTGTTCTAAAATATTCTTTCATAGTGTTTGATTACCATTTGGTTGATAATGAAACAGATTCTACAGGGTATAAAATTGACCTTTCTGGTTCCAAAACATTTATAAAGTTTTCCCTGTAGCAGAAAATACACAAGAAGCGGCTCCCTTCTATATGTTTGTTCAATAACATGAATATGTATTGAATGTTCTTGCTGGAGATGTTCTTCAATTATTAACAAAACTGAAATTTTATTTTAGGTTACCCCTGGGTTAGAATTATAGTTAAATCACACAATTTATTCATTATAGATTTAATTCTCAAGGGGTGCTGACTCGCCAATAAATAACATATTATGGGAATTGTATTTTGCTGAGCAGCAATTATATTTTGTTTGCAAATACTTTAATTATATAATATAGTCATAGCAATTCTCTTGTGCATAGTGTGCTGATTATAAAAAGACTAACGTACAAACAAAGAATGAGGCAACATTTAAGACATAGCAAAGAGAACAAATTGGAAACTAAATTCATAGCATTAAAATCAATGCAAAATACGGAAAATACAGAGAAAGTGAATGTAAGGAGTTATTTATTATAAGTAAAAAAGGGAATTTCCTAAACAATTTTACATATTTTGTGCCACAGTAAAGTATCTGCAAATAAACATTTCAAAATATATTCTGTGTCTGTATCAGATTCTTCCCACATTGATGGTCTTTTAATTTTTTGAAATAGCGTGCAATACCTAATTTT